GCTCCGCCCCGGCTCCCCCGGCGCCGCGGGGCAGGTGCGCGCCCGGCCCCGCTCCCGGCTCCGGCCCYGCTCCCGGCCCTGCTCCCGGCCTCGGTCCCGCTCCCGGCCCCGGCCCCGCGCCCCCTTCGAGGGGAGCTGCGGGCTCCCTCTGCGGATGCCTGGAGAGGAGTGAACGTGTCACGGCAAATGGCGGGGGGGAGAAAGAAGCAGAGAAATAAGCAGAGAACACACAGCGGAGAAGGCACTGGGAGCCCGCGGTCGCCTCGCAGGGCGTCTCTTCTGAGGGCASCGTTTGGTTCTCAGACTCACAGGATGGTTGGGGTTGGAAGGGACCTGTAGAGATCATCTAGGCCAAYCCCCCTGCTCCAACAGAGACATCTAGAGTGTGTAGTACAGGGTGGCATCCAGGCAGGTTTGGAAGATCTCTGGAAAAGGAGCTTCCACAACCTCTCTGGGCAGCCTGTTCCAGGGCTCTGTCACCCTCACAGGAAAGAAGTTCTTCTTCACATGCAGATGGAACTGCCTGTATTTCAACCTGTACCCATGACCCCTGGTCCTGTCACTGGTCACCACTGAGAGGACTTTTGCTCCATCTTCTTTATATTCTTTGGTTCTTCTGCAGTTATAGAGCAGCTCTGGAAAAACACCTAATATTAAAACAGTTAAGTCTCAGAAATTTTAGGCCAAATTCGGTCTAATGACAAGCAAATTTGACTTAAGCATCAACTAAAGGAAAAAATTGCACATATTAAATTTAGCCATTTAATTTGAAGTTTACGACCTTGTGGCTTGACAACACTGTTCCGTGTTTTTATGGCTTACTTGTTACAGTTGGTGACCAAGTATCTCAGCTTTCTCTAGCAGTGCTTCAAGTGCTGTAACTGACACACATCCCAAGTTTCTCATCTCCCCACAGGTGCCGTGAAGCCCTGTTTCTGTTTCAGTAAGGGACTTTGGGATTTCTTCTTCTACTTAAAAATATTTGTAGGCAGAAGTCTGTGTGCACATGCATGTTTGTGCACATACCCACAAAGAGAAAAAGACAAGATCAAAAGTAAGCACCTTGCCCTTGAGAAGGTGGAGAGCGTTTGATGACCCTCTCTGCCTTGCAAATCTTGTTCCATAGTTTTGAAACATGGAAAGTGAAAATAGCACTGGGTCTCTACCACAGACATTAGGCAACCTTGTGCCTTTGGACAAGGCTGTGGAGTGTGGTGAAGTTAAGTGGCTTTTGTGGAAAGCCGGCTCTTTGTGGAAAGACTGGAGGATAAATCTGAAATGATTGTCATGCGTGGTATTATTGAAGAAGATGCGGTTCAATATCCTCTCAGTTATTACTTTAGCTCATGGCGTTTTGTGCCCTGTGTATCCTGCACTTGTCTAGTCAGGAAAAAGTTGGAAATAACAGTGGTCATTTGTGGAGTTTATTACTTTCTTTCTTTCTGTATCAGTCTCTTCTATTTTCAACCCCAACACAAGCAAGAACCTGTTGAGTTTCAACACAGMAGGTCAGAAGACTGAAATGATTCATATGGGAGAGGGGGACTACCTGTAGTCATCATGCTAGTAGTCCCTCCTTGGTAATTCTGTGAATTATTATGTAAGTAGGTTTTGCATTTATGAATCAAAGTCATTAGTTGTTATGGTTGGATTGGAATTGTATTTGAATTGGATTTTTTCTGAACTAGAAAACTAGAGATGTTACACCATTGTGTAACTGAAATGAGAATCTTCCCAAGGCCTCATAGTCCCTCACTTAGCTTCCTTGATTTGCATTATGCAGGTTTAATATCAGATCCAGATGCAATCAACAAGATCAGATAGACCAGAGGCCAGATCTGTCAATATGCTAAGAAAGAATTTTATCTATTCTTCTGTTTCCACAAAGGTGTCAATGGGTGACTTCTTATTGACCTGCAAATGAGCCTAAAATGTATGGCAGTTTTGCATGTGGTATATTCCTAGGTCTATTTAAATTAAGTTATCTTGGATTTGACACTTGATGACAGGATGAATTCATTACTGCCAATCTTCCCTTATTAGATTTTCCATAAGGGATACATTTTAATAAATTTGAGAATAAAGATGATTCTCATGCATACAACTTACAGCATGACTCAGGCAGGTCTTGATGATGTAAGAAGTCGTAAGTGTTGCATTGCCGATAAAGTTGTAGATTGTTTTGATGTTGAATTTTGCACTGATGAGCCTCAACTTAAGTCCATGCCTTTTTATGTTTGCTTTCTCCAGTGCATGGGTAATGCCTGTATGTAGTGTTCGGACTGTGTACATTAAGTCCCCTAGATCTGCCTGTATTTTCCTTAGACACTTCCTCCTGGTATCAGGTTGCCAAATAGTTCTAAAACTCCACGCTATACAGGTAGCAAGCAGTAATAGGTAGACAAGTATGTTTACCTTTTGTGCCCAAATTAAATATAGCTGGTTCTGCTTTGCTTTTTGATCTGCCTTTTAAGWGTTCTTTTCTGGGAACTTTGATAAATAAAACGTCCAGAAAATACAAAGTCCAGGTACAGTTTATTTATCTTTTACAAAGAAGAGCTGTTTTTATTTTATATTGATCAAATAAAGTTTGTGTAGCTTTGCTACTATGTAAATCTCACAGAATTGGGTTTAATGACACTGTGTGTCTGAAAAAAAGTAATAAAAAAAACCCTCTGCTGCAGAGTTGTATTTAAAAGGTCCTTGGTGCAGGAAGGGTAGATGAAGAAGGTAGAGATACTAAACTCTAGTGATTTAATATTAACTAGATACAAAACTGCTGAGTTTAAACTATTAATCTGATAGATATCTGATGGATGAATAAAAATTAGGCACATTTATTCTTACCCTTAAAAGCTTGATTCAGCAGGGAATTACTTTAAGTACTTAAGTAATCCCATTTACTTCAGTGGGACTACACATGAGCTTTAAATTAAAATCTGCAAGATATCTGTGCTCAAATAAAGCAAAGCTCCAAAGAACGTTTCCAAGGCAGGATATTTAACTGATGATGTTTAACATGAATTACGCATATTTTGTCAGAGGAGCTTGCACATAGGACCATAGTGTGGGAGGCAGAAAGGTTGCAAAGGCAGAAAGGCTAAAGCCACAGTGCAGACATTTCAAAGGCAAGTAGAAAATTCTTTCTTGATTCCATTTGAACATTTAGGCCAACTTTTACACCAACGAATTCATAAGTTACTGTATTTTTATACAAACTATGTTGCCTTACTTATAGGCACGTTTCACTTTTTCTTACTAAATTGTCAGTTCAAAGAACTTGCTGTGAATACTGCAATTCTGCAGGTTTTTTTTTTTTTTTTTTTTTTTTGCAAGAGAAGAAAATCCTACTCTTTTTCTGAGAAACATTGTGTCATGAAAATACTGCTCCAAGTTGCACAGTCAAATGTGAGCTTTACCTTGGATTTGAAGCTGGGATCTAGCCAGAAAGATAGCATATTTAATTCCAAACACACTATGCTTGCTCATACAATACAAAGTTATTATTTGCTTAGTAAAAGTGCTGATAGGACTTTGAAAAACAAAAACACCAATTCTTTTCTATCTTTAAGACAAGATGAATATGTTCTGTACCCAGACTTCAATTTTCTTCAGTGTTTTAAGTAATAGAATTACATTTTAAATGAAGATGAGATTTAAAAGAAATGCATCTACATTGATTGCCTTAGTTTCTGAAGTGATTTTAAAAGTGACAGAACTCTCTATACAAATAAGGTATATTGTGGTGATTTTTTAAATGTACAAAGGTATTATGTTGTCTTATGATTTGCAAGTGTTTTGATTATGAATGTTTATGAAATTAGGAGAAAATATGAAATATTATTTCTGATTCTTGTTAAGATTTAGGTTTTTTAAAACCCTTGCCTTCAGGACAAAAATAAGAGTGCCTTACTATTTCTTAATCACAGAATCACAGAATGGTTGAAGTTGGAAGGGACCTCTAGAGATCATCTAGTCCAACCCCCTGCTCCAGCAGGGACTCCCAGAGCACGGGACACAGGGTGGCATCCAGGTGGGTTTTGAAGACCTCCAGAGAAGGAGACTACACAGCCTCCCTGGGCAGCCTGTGCCAGGGCTCTGTCACCCTCACAGGAAAGAAGTTCCTCCTCACGTAGAGATGGAACTGCCTGTGTTTCAGTTTATACCCATTTCCCCTTGTCCTGTCACTGGCCACCACTGAGAAGAGCTTGGCCCCTTCCTCCCTACATTCTCCCTTCAGGTGCTTATACATATTAATTAGATCCCCTCTCAGCCTTCTCTTCTCCAGAGAAAACAGGTCCAACTCAGTCTCTCCTTGTAGGAGAGATGTTCCAGTCCCTTAATCATTTTTGTTGTCCTCCGCTGGTCCCTCTCTAGAAGGTCCACATCCCTCTTGTACCGGGGAACCCAGAACTGCACACAGTATTACAGGTAATCCACTCTTAATCCACTCTTCATTTAACTTCAGATGTTAAATGAATTATAAACCAATTTTACTGGTTAATAATGCTTATTTGTGGAAAAGCAGGCCATCACTGTGGTGGGTTTTACCCTAAATTACCATCCAGAGAATTGCATAGGTGGAAAAGACTGTCAGAAATCAGGTTTGTTGCTAACAAGTTTTTCCTAAATGCTCATTTGGATCCTGCAACTGCTGCAGCTTAGGTCTATTGTTTCCTTAGGGAGCATAGGAAAAAGTTGATTGCTCTCCTCTTTCCAGCCAACTCAGGAGTGTTCGAAGATTGAACATCACGATCCTTTCTCCGTAGACTAAGCTATGGAGAGCTTTCATTTTTGCCTTTAAGACCTCTAACTGTCAATGTTGCTCTTCTATGGGCCTTCTCCAGTTACTTTATGGATTTGTTTGGGGTATGATTTCAAAAAAAAAATATGCTGGCT